GAGCTCAAGTGAGGCCAGAAAGGGAGGTTAATTAGCAGATACTGTGTACACTGTGGACTCATCCAAAGCATAGCATTAGTGGCACAGTGAAACACTTTCACACCATTAGCCGACTCTTTATTTTTATACATCCATTCAACCGTGCGGGTCTGAGCGGTCGACTTTTTTCTATACAAAAACACAGCGAAATGTACCAGTGAAAATAACACCATGTGAGATCCTGTGAAAAACAGCTTCTGGTGGAAATGTGTCTTTTTGTGGAAGGATTAATGTAAAGACACTGTGACAGATGACTTTGTAGTGTATCTCAGACCTTGACTGACACTCATTTGCTATGATAAGTGATTTTTAAATGAGTGTACGCTCGCACTCGCGAGACGCAACGCCCTCGTGCAACGGGGGGTCTGCGCGGGTTTAATCAAGCTGTCTGAGTCGATGCCTGCGCGGAGAAGCGCCATTCATTCTCAAAGCAAAACATTCTGCAAGGTCATATGCAAATGCTCTTATTATTTCTCACGTCTTAAAATGTTTTCAAGTGGTAACGTGAGTCATCTGTATCTTTTTTTTCTTTCCTTTTTAATCCACGGCGTTAGGCGGTCATTTCTTTTCTCTGCATTTCCCAGAGCAGATGCGTGTATTTATGTTCAAGGTTGTTGTTGGTCCTGCAGGTAATATTATGTTTGTAGTGGGACAGTTTCATTAGAGCACACCGAGAGCCTTATTGGAGTAAAGTGTTACACATCTCTTCTCTGAGACCTTCCCAGCATGCAAGGACACACAATCTGTCTGTTCAAAATGTCCTTACTGAATCATAATCTCAACACAACTGATGTTTACAGTAACAAATGGTGGGGAGGATAACATTACCCATCCCCGCTCAGCGCTGCTGTCAATACTCTATTATTACATTGTTGTGTACTTGAATGGTTGCTTGAGAGTCAGCTCTTTCTCTTGGCGATCATTATCTAACATTTCTTTAGTTCATGTTCTCAGTAACAGTCGAGCCTTCGCCCTTTTCCTCTGTGCATGTGTAGTGCACTTGTGGCTCCTCCTGGCTGCTTGAAATCCTCCACAGTTTCTGTATGAGTTTTGCTGAGGTCTGTATGGACTAGAGTTGCTACGGGCATCAATTAGCTTGTTAACAAGATCAGAACCACAACTTTCTTGACAATATAAAAGCAAATCAAGAAAGTTATCACAATGTGTCAGTAAGGAGGCATCAATGTGTGGTATTGCCAAATACAAAGACAGTGGGAAAGTATGTAAAATTAATTTAAAGGTCTGCGACAGCCTGGCAGCCCATCCAGCCCGCCTCTCGCCCTGTGACAGCTGGGATACGCTGCAGCCCTCTGCACTGGATAAACAGAATAAAATGAATGCATAGTTTAAAGTTTTGGAAACTCCAGGACAGTGCGTTGTCAGAAACAAAGTAACACATTACTGTAATCACATTACATTTTCCAGTGATGTGGTAATGTAACACATTACTGTAATCACATTACATTTTCCAGTGATGTGGTAATGTAACACATTACTGTACTGAATTCAGTAACAGTGTCCAACAAACATGTTTTTCCCCACACGTCACACACTGATAATCAGCTGATTTCAGTTCCAGTTTGGGAGGAGGAAAATGGTGGAGCGATACAGATTTAGAGGAGGGACATATGGACGTTACTTTTATTTTATTTATTTTTTTATTTTTACTACACAAAAGGACAAGAGCACAATCAGGACAGAAACAGTTGCATTTCTCTGCTAACACAACTTCAGGTCTTTGAAAGCATCTGCACAGACAGCATGCTAACATAGTGAATTACTTTTAGGAAAAGTAATTTCTCTGTGAATTTCATATTCCCGTGGCAGCATGCTAGGTGCTTGCTCAGATTTGAAGTTTAATTTTTGACTATAGAAACAAGTTTTCGTCCCACACAGAGTGTTCAGCGGATGCTAATGTTTTTGTCACTTTTTAGGGACTCAAACTCAAAGTAATGTCAGTACTTCCAAGCTTTAAACGCTGCACGGTCGCACTCTCTCCCTCACTCCATATTATCCATTGTTGATCAACACACGTCTGTTGCTACCACGGACATCGCTTGCTTGTACGTCATTGTCATGAGACACTCTCACAACCAAAATCGCATTTAGTAATGTAGCAAGATAGCGTACTAACAGGAAAGGAACAGTAATCTAATTACATTTTTTGCAACAGTAATCCCTTACTTTACTTGTTACCAGAGATGGGCAGTAACACGTGACTTGTAACGTGATACTGCCCATCTCTGTTAATGTCCCCAGCACTAAATATGATAAACACAGCTAGTATGTTAGCAGTTTAAAGGTCTAGCAACCCATCCAGGGTGCAGCCCGTCTTGTGCCATATGACGACATGACATTGGTACCTGATTGGTGAATAGTCGGGGTTAGTTGATTATATAGTAATAAGTAGGGGTGCAATGATACACAAAATTCACGGTTCGGTTCGGTTCGATACTTTGGTGTCACGGTTCGATATTTTTTCGATACAAAAAAATGTTCATGCCTTTTTAATTTGTCATTTATTAAAATTATAAATATATATTTTAACTCAAAAGTACAGTTTTTAAATTTAATGTTGCTGAAACAACAAAGTAATAAAAAAATAAATCTATCTGATCGAGAAATCACTCATCTTTGGAAAAGAGAGTTTATTACAGAGAAATGGCTCTTTCCAAAATAAAAGCTATACTATACGCTTCTTCTGGGCTATATTCTCAGCAGCATATTAAACATATCAGGTCCCCATAAGGAGAATCATGTGCTAACGGCTGTCTAAATGACTCGGGTAAAGTTTGTAGCATGCATGCTTGTTGTTTTTGTCTGCTTCCACTTGTCTTTGCACTAGGATGATGTCGGAGTAAATGTGCAGTCATATTCGTTGTGTTCCCACTAGTGCTGTCAGCGTTAATCTCGTTGAAATGACGTTAACGCCACAACACGGCAAATCTCCGTTAATGAGCTACCGCGGATCGCCCCGTGCGTGGGGCTGGACGGCCAACACGTTAACGAGCTAACTGCGCTAACACACTAGCTCCCACCCATGTAATTGAGCATTGCGTGGCACATCCAACATACTGTTTTACTTTAGTCCATGACGCGCTTACCTTCAGGGTCATACGTCACATGAAAACCAAAATAGTTCCAAACGCCAGATCTGAATGAGGGTGGGGGAGGTTCAATTTGCCATGTTGCAAGGAGAGCTTAACTTCTGTCTCGCTAGCTTGCCCTGCGCTCAGTGAATCTGCGTTCGACTACTCCGCCTAGGCTGCACTGTCGAGCGCAGATCCACTGAGCGCTCAACACAGACAGCATCGTCAGAAGGAAAGTTGATAAAATGAAATTAAAAATTTTGTATTGTTCGATACATATGCGTACCGAACCAGAAAGCACTGCATCGAACGGTTCAATATCGATACGAGTATCGTTGCACCCCTAGTAATAAGGTATAGTTTGACTAGTCAAACTATACCCATATATATATACAGAGATGGGCAGTAACGCGTTACTGTAATCTGATTACTTTTTTCAAGTAACGAGTAAAGTAAGGGATTACTATTGCAAAAACGGTAATTAGATTACCGTTACTTTCCCGTAGGAACGCTGCGTTACTGCGTTACTAAAACCGTGATTTTTTGCGAGAATGTCTCACGACAGTGACGTAAGCGAGTGCGCCGTTAGTGACAACAGCTGTGTGCAGATCAACAATGGATCACATATCGATTGTGGGAGAGAGTATGAGCGTGCAGCGTTTAAAGCGTGGAAGTACTGACCTTACTTTGAGTTTGATTCCATAAAAAGTGACAAAAACATTAGCGTCCATTGTGCGTGGGAAGAAAACTTCTTTTTACAGCGAAAAAACCCCTAAACTTCCAAGCAAGCACCGAGTGCTGCAACGACGTAATGGGAAACTCACAGAGAAACTCGCGGATTCTTCAACTGACCGCGGCACACCTGCACCAGGGTAAACCTCCGCCTACCGAGTCCTGCTTTACAGGTGAAAATAGAGCAACAGGACCGCTGAGTCTTTGACTTTATTTATTTTCTGCTGTGTTTTACTTGCATCTATTTGAAAGAGTGAGTGTAAACACAAAAAATATTTTATTTTATGTGCTGGAATGTGCAGAAAATAGCTTTAAATGTTAAACTAATTTCTTCAAGTCAGAGAATGTTGCATATAATTAAATTTTTGCTTGATGCATAAAGTTAAAAGATTAAAACTGATAAAACAAGTTTTAAAAAGAGACTTTTCCATTTGATTACATTTTGTATGATGGAGTATGTAGAAAAAGTAGAATTGGGCTGAAAGATCTATTTATCACCTATTCAGTTGTAAATCGTGTTTTTAAAAAGTAAACTAAGTAACTAAGTAATTAATTACTTTTGAAAATAAGTAATCAGTAAAGTAACGGGATTACTTTTTTGGGGAAGTAATCAGTAATTAGTTACTGATTACTTTTTTCAAGTAACTTGACCAACACTGTGTATATATATATATATATATATATATAAACATCCCAGCACGCCCCTGCGGGCGGTTCTATCCTTCAAGCTCGGGTCCTCTACCAGAGGCCTGGGAGCTTGAGGGTCCTGCGCAGTATCTTAGCTGTTCCCAGGACTGCGCTCTTCTGGTCAGAGATCTCCGATGTTGTTCCCGGGATCTGCTGGAGCCACTCGCCTAGCTTGGGAGTCACCGCACCTAGTGCTCCGATTACCACTGGGACCACCGTCACCTTCACCCTCCACATCTTCTCGAGCTCTTCTCTGAGCCCTCGGTATTTCTCGAGCTTCTTGTGTTCCTGATGTTGCTGTCATTCCGAACCGCTACATCGATCACTACGGCCGTCTTCCTTTGTTTGTCTACCACCAGTATGTCCGGTTGGTTAGCCACCACCATTTTGTCTGTATCTGGAAGTCCCACAGGATCTTAGCACCACCACCCTTGGGGGCAGCTTTTGGGCATATTTTGTTTTGTTTTTCAGCAGGGCACTAATGTCATACCAAACAGGGAAGACTTCAGTGCAAACTTGCCATGTGTGCCATTATTTCACTCATATGTTTGTGTCCTTGGGGATAAAAAACAGGAAAAAGGTATGTTCTATTGCTTGCTAATGAAGCTCTTCCTAGGCAACAATCTCAGTTACTGAGTGCATTTGCTCATCAGTGAAACTTGACAAAGGAAAGATTCTCAGCTGGCTGGACACAACTTTTAGGTAACTGCAAGAAAAGGAAGCAAGTAAGATATTTTCCATGAACTTTAAATGAATTTTAAAGATCACAGTGTCCCTCTTATTCATGCTTCTCTGTCACCCGCATAAACCTTTCAGTTTTCACCACCTACAACCTGCATTCATGGAAACATTTATCTCATATTTTTGCAGAAGTGTCCTGACTTTATTTTGAGCTGCACAGCCTAGTCCGTCATGTGAACACAGAGCAGATCCACTAAGGTTAGTGGGTTGCTCAAGGGCACTTTAATTCCAGTGGATGTGAAGCAGAGAGGGATGTTTTCATTTACTTTCCCTGGTTGTAGCAGCTGAGCTGCCAAATAACACACTGTGCTATCCAAACCCTGGAGGTTGCCCAGCAGTCCAGTTGCCAGGCCAAGGGACCTTTAGCTATGTTTGTGTCTTTACCATCCAATAACCTGATTTTGTTTGTTTCATTGCCAGAACCTTTGCACGGATACTCCCATCTGTAATGCTGGACCACAATACAGATGATTATGCCATCCTTATTAAAGCTGCAGGGATGCCGATGGTGGAGCAAACTGTATTTACAGCCTCAGAGATGCTATTTTGCTCTCCCAGTAAAAAGAGGATACAGAAATGTTGCCTAATGATGGCACAGATGACCATCTTGGCCCTTATTTATGGTTATCAAGCTCCATGAGGCAACAATCTCTCCCTCAGATCGTTACCTTTTTACTCCCATCTTCCACTACATGGTGTACCTGCAGGAACATCAAAGATATCTGGAATTAGCCCGCCTCTTTGAAGGCGAACAATGCTACAGTCATGTTAATTCTCCTACCCCTGTCTCTTCTCTTTAAAGTGAAAGAAACTTCAGATAGAAATATCAGGATCTGTCAAGCATGGCCTCATTTTTCTCAGGTGCCAGAGAGGAGATAACTGAGCAAGCATGAACTTACATAAGGCATGAAAACATCAAGCCATGGCTGACAATTTCATTCACAAATTGAAACAAACTAAGAAGCAAACAAACAAACCCCCCCACAAAAACAAATAGCCGGTTCCGACACTTCTTTCTTTTTCCCAGCCAGTTTTCTCTTTCCCACGGTGGGATGTTAAAGCCAAAGCTGTGAGTCTCACATGTCTCAAAGTGTTTGCACATCAGGTGTCTTGCCATGAGCATGGCGCCGAATCAGTTCTATTTCTGATGAGACAGATGTCTCTGATCTTATTAGTGTGACATAGACAACACAGAACTCTGACATAACTGGCTTTAAGAGAAGACATGTGAATAATGCCGGTTGCACTGACAAATTACTGTCAAAACAAACCCACACTGAGTGACAGTAATATGACAAATGGCTTTTCACTTACATCTCTGATTCATTTACTTAGTTAGCTATATACACCCAACGATTCTTCTTCATACGTATCGAGACAAAGATAAAAAAAATACAAACAGGCATGTGGGCTTTGTGACTTTCTGTTTGACCCCGCATTTGTTCAGTCTATCAGTATACGTATATAGTGTTGATGCAGTGGTCGCACTTGCGACCACTTGTTTATCCACGGCACACACTACATCTGTGGAAAACAGCCAGTGTGTACTCAGGTTGATACTATACACACTGCAGGGAAGAGCATGACACAGAAAACAAACACAATCTGTTACGTCAAATCTCCGCACTTCTGTATTCAGCCATGTGCTTTATTTTTGACTTTGACACGAGGATACAGCTTAGTGAAGTGGGATGTGAGACTTTGCGCTCAAAAGACCTTATGTAAGTATTTGTAGGGGAGTTGTACGACTCCTAAAAACATACAGTGATAATGACGCGTGCTTCTCTCAGTATGGCTGAAGAAATGTAATGTTTTTCAAAAAACATTCACAGGACAAGCGTCTGTTTTATTTTATTTTTTTCTTTTATTGCAGTGGGTTGGGACAGTATTCACAGTGGTCACAACTGAAGAAAGAGTCAAGCTAAGAATCTAGGTAAAAGTGAAAAATAAGAAAAATAACTGGGAATATCAAACTAACCTTCATATTTGCGGAAACATCGCTGCACTGGGCTATACCCTATTTTAGTTTGGCCCCTGGCAATACAGCTAGCTTAGCCTGCGTTTCATTGTGTTGCCCAAAACACAGTGAAACTTCAAAAGAGCTGCAGCTGCTGCCCAGAGTCAGTTGCTCCTTACACTACAGGAAACAACAATTAAGCACTAAAGTGATTTACAGCAATCCATAGTATTTTACTCCAAAGACAACGATAACGACAGAAAAGACAGTGAACTTGATCTCAAACAGTTTACAATCAGCACACTCTCCAAACATCAGAAAAAAGTCCCCATCCTTCATACCACACTTGGTACATCCCCCCAGGAACTGAGCTATAAAAGGAGTCCAAAATGGCCTGGACTGGTCTGGCACTTCCTGTGTCGAAACCAAAAAAAGGCTGTGGGTCCAACTGAAAAGCCGCTGTTTCCCAAGCTTCCTTTAACTTGACATGAATGGAAAATGTATTTAATTTAAAGAAATTTGTGAAAGAGATTTTTATAAGGTGAATTGTGACTGTGGATTTTTGCTGTATCGAAAACTCCATACCCCTGGATGCAGAAACGATACCAATAAATACTAAAACTACCATGACAGACATAATGATTGCAAGCTGAATCATGGTCAACTTTGATCGTTAAATCTTTTTTTAAGTTTTTACAAAACCCAACACCTTAACAAGAAGCAGATTTTTATCACAGCAGCCTAACCTTCACTGCTCAGCTGAGGATTTACTCTAACAAAGCCTGTTGTTGAAGATTCAAAGCATATCAGCAGGTTGTGTCATCAAATGAGACACTCATTAATGAATATTCACATGCGCTTTGTTGATTGTTTTCAATGACGCCTGGATATCATAGTTCTTTCCTCGTCTCTTCTCCTTTGATAAAGGATGGTCTTATTACAGCTGTCTCACTGATACACTATATGAAGAAAGATGCAAATATTCGTGACAGAATGGGTCGCTCTGAAGAGTTCCACGAGTTCCAGCACGAGGCTGTAACTGACTGTAATTGCTGCTTCAAGTCATTTTACTGAAAAGTGGAAGTGATCATTTAAAGTTGGCCCAGTACTTTTGTCTGTATCCACGTACTTCTGAGTCACTTCACTTAGTTGTGAACCATCCTAAACAAGTGTGACTGTTCGACCGCACCCTAAGAGCAGTCACTACATCTCTACTAAGAGATAACAAGCACAGACAATGTATAGGTGTCTGCAGCACTGCCTACTCTACCTTTATTTCCATTCATGCCCAAGGTGCCGAAATGACATAAACAGCCTCAGTGTGCGTAAAATAAAGTCCTTCTTGTGTCTTTTTTAATGTACAACTAATATGCAGAAAAAATTACACATTACTGTGATTTGGATTTTTGTGTCTCCTCTCATCATAATGTGTATGTGTACTTTAGAATTATTGGTTTCTAGAAATTGAACCGCATTTACCATAATACTCCAGTCTTCATTAATATTCATTTAAAATGAGCCCCAGGCATTCTGTGTTGCCCTCTGATATTTGTATATGCACCCATAACATTAGCGAGGCATTTCCGGCAGATCCGGGTACATACAGACGATTATTCCTTAGGTGTATTGGAATTCCATTCATGGAATCCCAAGCTATATCTGGCTGTGGTTTCCATTTCCAGGTGCAACCATTCACAGTGCAGAAGAAGCCTGTCACTGCAACATCAAACCTGCTCTAACCATGTGATGGTGGCTTGTGTCACTTCCCCTTCACTCCAGACTCTCCCTGCCATTAGAGCCGTATTTGACATCCATCAACTGTGTTGAGCCACAATGGGAATTCACTCTTTACATTTCAAACACTTCCCCGCGAAAACACATCAGGGGTGTCAAGAATTTTAAAGTTGTGGGAAAAAGTATGAAAAAATAAAAAGTTCCAACCCCGATGGCTTTTCTCCATGCAAAATTCTCACTGCAAGTCGCAATCTCACTTCTCAGTGACTTTGTGTAACATGTGCTGTGTCCCTTTCACAATGAGGGGCCCAAACTAAATTAACTGAGTGGACTGACTGCATATAATTCACAAGACAATGAAGTGAATAACTTTCTTTTTTAGAAGTGCAAAGTGACTTAGTTGTGTTCCTATTGTAGCAAGGGATAAAAATCAGTAAAGCACAATACCACAGATACTAAGACTATACTAATTCAAAACCAGGCTTTTGGTACTGCTGGTTGCACTGGTTCAAAAATATCACTGAATGTGTCGTTCCTCAATCTCTGGCACTCTTCCACAGTGTGTCTTTGACCTGTCTTCCCCCAACTGGTTGTGGCAGATGGCTTCCACTTCTGAAGCTTGGTTTGGTCAGAGGTTTTTCCTGTTAAAAGGGAGTTTTTCCTTCACTGTCACCAAGGCGCTTGCTTAAAGGGGTAAGTTGACTGTTGGGGTTTTGCCTGTTTGTATCTGGGTCTTCAGCTTGCAATATAAAGCACGTCGAGACAACTCTCGTTATGATTTGGTGATATATCAATAAAATTGAATTGAATGGAATTATGACAGTAAAACATTTCCCCGAAGAAAAAAATGGACACAACACTAATACACTGCAGCTATTAAAAATCCTAGATGTGTAACACTTAATCACCAGAAGGGAGACATATTGCTGTGGTAACATCACCGTGGAAACTCTCAGGTGCCCTGGCCTCCAAAGGCATCTGTAGCTTTGAAAAATGGAGCCTTGAAAGTATTCATTAGTCAGCCAAGCAGTGAGATTACCCTGCTAATGCCAGTGTGATTCAGAAATAAATAAAAAAAAAGATGTGGGACAAAGAAAAAAAAAGTTTTCAGCTGTTCAAAAGAATTATTTCTAAAGGAAAATATGGGTATGGAAGACTTTCAGTCCCGTTCTGCAAAGGCCTCCAGCTGAGTAGCAGCTTAGTATCCATTAATGGTCTCACTGTGGAGAAAACCGGGCAATGGAAAAAAAGCAGCGGCCACTCAGCACCCACACTGTAGAAAAAAGAAACACTGATCAATAAGTGCTGTGTGCGGTTCGATAAGTGCATTGATCATCGCGCAAACAAACACATCACAACTATAGCGGGAATAATAGTGCTGGGGCAAAGTAAATTCTTTTCAGCCCGACCTAATGTGAGTGTACTTAGGCTTGTGTTCACCCGCCCTCCAAGCATCAGTCAATGAACATTTGAAGTACAGACACTGATGCTAAAATACACTGAAAAGAAACCAGTTTGACATGTGTGATGTTTCTGTTGATGCCTGCAGGTACTATTCTTTTATCTTAAACAATGTCACGATGCAGTGTTTTTTCTTTTACTGTTAGAAGTCTGCTAGCTAGAGAAACATGCACAGTGCAGTAGTCTCTATGATTATTGTCTAAATATGAATGAATACAAGGTTTATTGCCCCACCCAAATGTTTCTCTCAGACCTGAGCAACACTTTTTGCTCATTATCTTGGCTCGGCCTTCAGCTTTGGTTTTGTTCAGTCTTACTGCTCTGCAGTTTGCAGCTTTGCATTTCTAAAAACTGACTGTAGGCTGTACTGCTTATCCAACTCCAAACAGCAGAGAAGTTAACAACTAGCTTTAAAACATTGCAAAGCTTTTAGGATTTAATGCATTTTCCTGAAGAATTGGGCCAAAATCCAAAGGAAAACAGCATTTTTTTCTGGCCACATGCTACTTTATGAATGGAGGTTCAAAGCTACAAGCTATGGCTTGCTGCAGCTCAGGAGGACGAGCGGGTTATCTGCTAATTTGGAGGCTGGCAGTTTGATTCTTCGTTACTCCAGTTGCATGCCAAAGGAACCCCCAAGTTGCTCTCCGATGCATCCAATGGAGGGTGAATATGTGCAAATGTTAGATAGAAAAGTGCATGGGTGAATCAGACATGTTGTATAAAGTGCATTGAGTGCTCCAGTAGTGTAGAAAAGTGCTGTATAAGAACCAGTAAATTTATAATGTTTGCTGTATTGTTTTAAAATGAGTAGTATGGTTGTACAGGAAATACAGTTAAATGCATAATTATCTGGACAATTTTCAGAGGTTTTAAAGAAAAGACAACATAGGATTTGATTTTCAAACTGATATATATTATGATGTAATTAATGCAACGGTGTGGTGTTTACTAAAACTCTCGGATGAGTTTGAAGCTTTGTGATTTACACCTCAAGATCAAGGTCAGAGGTCAGAAGTCAAGTTTTCTGAAAATCTTGTGAATGCAATAACTTGAGGACAAAGTCACCTAGGATTTTCAAGTTGATACCATAGGTATCAACTTACTAAAAATCTCAGATTAGTTTAAAAGTCTGTGACATTGACTGCAAGGCCAGAAGTCAGAGTTCAAGTTTTCTGAAAATACAATTTTTTCAGAGGTTCAAAGGTACTTGGACATACTCTCTGTAATTTCAAATATATATACAAATCGTTTTTAATACATTAAAATATTTTGTTAGTTAGCTATTGAGATGCTCGGCCTGGGCTTTACTTCTACCTTCAGGTGCTGCTTGTGTGGGGCTCTCTCTGCATTTGGTTTTACTTTACTGGGTTGAGATCAGAGACTAAGGCACTGAAGAATATCTGATTTCTTTGCCTTGAGAAACGTAAAGTCTTAATTGTCTGTAGGTACATGACATCACCAAATACAGTCCATCTCAAAGAGTGATGCCGCCAGCTTCCTGATTTCTTTGAGTCTGCCTTGTTGCACCGAGACACCTTGCAAAGTCCTTGAAGTTTTGATTTGACACTCACCTTTTTATCTTCGAAAATGTGACAAAAAGGCTCGTCCCCTCTGAGCGTCGGTGGCCTGTGAGTGACACCAGTGGATGTTATATGACAGGAGAATTCTACCTAATTACAGCACTTTCAAAGACATCTATTGCCGTTGCAGCTGAAATGCCTTTGCTGAGTCACAGATTCCCCATAGATAAATTCCACGCTGTTTTTGCTACAGGGCAGAAATAAAAAAAATAACACACCCGTGGCCCCTTTAAACACTTTTTACCAGTCGTTTCCACAAAGCATGTTACAGGGGGAGATAATCCAGTGGCGGTAGATGGCTCGCTTCGAGGTATTTCGGCGATGCTTCATGGTTGGGTCAGGCAACAGCTGCTGGAGGTGAGATATCTAGGATGAAGTCCTCTCCCCAAACGACATCAACTCTATTTTAATTCTCCACGCAGCATGGTGCATTGACACCTGGGCTGAACACATGGTTAAAATTAGGGCCGCTGTAGGAGACCTTGACAAACAAGTGACTTTGACTGAATTCATCAGGGCATCCCTGGAGTCACAAAAGTGTTTTAGGAAAGTTGTATTAGTTTTAATTGTCCATATGGCCTTATTTCAGTTTTTCAGATTTCCCTAAAATGGTCTTCCTCATTGTCACATATTGTGCCATCTATAGCGTATTTTATGGTAGCGTCATTGTCTCTAATGTGTTAAACTGAGCTAGATTTGTCTGTGTCTGGAAGGAGCTCAGTGTTTTTAAAAATTCATGCTTTGGAAAAGTAAAATATCACAGCTTAAATAGTGTCTTTTTTATTATATTTTCACAAAGAAATCCCAGCACCCGAACGTAAAAGTTAAAAAAGGCATAAAAGGCTTCACTTTTTCATTTCACTAGATAAAACCACGTTTCGCAGAATAAAAGGTTGTGAATGGAATTTATTCTTGGGATTTGGATGTGAGTTGGTGGCTGTGAGCAAAATCGGAATCAATTAATCGGGCATATACGAGCCAACTTGCCAGGAAGCAAGTATCTGTTGTTTTTGTTATTGATGCATTAGCAGAACAATCAGTGGCCCTAAGTTCTTTTCCTCCCTTTGAGTTAAACTTGGAAAAGAAAAGGAAAGCAAAAAAAAAAAAAAAAAGCTGGAGCAATGGCTTGAATATTTTAGGTTATGGATGAACTGTCGAGTGTCTGACAAGACCCACTATATAAACTTTGAACACAGGCTCTCCGGGACACATCGATAGTTGTAAATATTTAATTTGGTGCCTCCGACAATGCATGCCCACTGAAACAAATCTTTACCAGATTGAATTCAAGATAAATAGCACGGAAATATCGCAAAAGCTGATACACAGACTTTTATGCTATCATTTTGTCAGGTTTGCCTCTTTGGGGCTTTCGCTTCACGTATCGCATATTAATTTATTTGAAGTGTCAGCAATTTTAAGAAGTAACAGAAGCTGCGTGCCCCTTTATACTGCGTGTGCAGTTCTAATTAAGATGGGAATGCATTCGTGGACATCATAAACACATATTTCTAGTGGTTAAGTTTGACTTTATTTGTATATTACAAAAAGGCAGATTAGTGCGAGACTGTGAATGCATGGATTATAAAAGCAGCCATTATAAAGTACATGAAAGCTTTAAGTGAAAGGCATGATCTATTGTCATGATATCTTTTTGGATTATAAGGCATTTGTGCATGAATAGGTTCTAATCGAACAGCTGCTTTTGTGAAAAAGCAGAACTACACAATATTACTATGTATGATATATGTACACATCCACACAAACATGTCTCTGTGCAGATTATTATACAGTTATTCTATGCAGGCTGTGCTCTCTTGCAGTCTGGACTGAAATGACTTTACTGCATTTTATTGAAATGTTAATGTAGTCTCAGTATGATTTTTCCAGCTATAATAGAAATTGTGTTTTCTAAAGACCTTCTTTTTAATATATACAGACATCATTTACAGCGAAAAAATAAGAAAACTTGAATATTCCATTTGTCACTTTGATAAAGTCATTAAAGCTAAAATTGTTGTGTTTGTTTGCCGATATTTCTACAGTGTGGTTAATTGTCATTATTTAAATTTCCAAACAGCTACTAAATTTGAATGGATGATTTCTGCAGCGATGCTCTTATGATGTGGAAAAAAACAGCGATCGCATCTTTTCTTTCTTAGCATGAACAAAAGATCAACACGGGCTTAATTTTTTAACCTTTTATTCATTTAAATTCTCAAGTGTTAAAGCAAGAACAAAACATTTATAATGTCCTTTGGTGGGATTTTATTACACTTTATTAATACTGTATATGTAAACTGATATTCTTTGATGCCAGCACGTTGCCAATACAAAGGAAAATCAACTGCACAACGAAAAGTAATAAACAGAAAAGGTGAAAAAGGAAGTGAAAATAAAAGAGAAAGAGAGAGAAAAAACAACCCAACTGCTTCTGCATTTGAATGACTTAAATAGATACAGGTTGCCTTTTTTTCAATCACAGTTCGGCAAAGATACAAAAGGACTACATGACTCTCTTTTTTTGTTTTTTTTTTTTGTTGTTTTGTTTGATCTGTCGAGAAAAGAACTTGCAAATACACTGATGGTTTTCTATGCACTTCTCGTCTGCTCAGGTGAATACTATCCCCTGACCATGACAGTAGGGAGAGTGGTGGCTCTAAGATAGAAAAAGAATCAGACAGCTTCACTGGAGTATCTTTTCGGAAGAGAGGAAAGGGGGACGAGGGATGGGACGGGGGATTCTTACATGTGCATCACTAACATTGGACAAAAGAATCTTTCAACCAACAAGGGTTTTACAGAGTAACGTTCACGAAAGCACAGGTCAGTGGCGGCGTCTGGGGGTGGAACTAGGATTGGAGGGAAGGGAGGGGGATGAACGAGAGGATGAGGCCGAGCTCGAAGGAGAGACAGAAAGATAGAGACAGAGAGGGATCAACGTGGGCAAGGTTTTGTGTCACAATGTGGCAGTCCGGACAGATTTCCTTCTATCCACAATGCACTGACAGCAAAGAATGCGTCCTGGGTTTTTTCACCTCTTTCTGTTTGTTATCACGCTGAAGTGTAACGGGTTTGTTTCTGAGGCCAGTCTTTGCCATTCAGCGGGGACAAGTTTGCTTTTTTTTGTTGTTTTTTTTTTTTGTTTTTCTTCGGCATCAGTCCAGCCAACATTAACAACGCACAGAAGCATCCCAAAGGGGTCGGCGGCCACCGTCGGCTTGTGCGAGAGCTGATTGGTCGCAGCTGTTGTTGCCGTGGCAATATGAGAAGAAGTGAACGAGTCTGTCATCTTTAGTTATCTCCTCTCAAAATCGAAGGGGGCTCGTGTACTGTACCTGGTATGGCTTTTGGGGGGAGGGAGAGAGGTAGGGTAGGGGTCAGGGTGGGACTCACCATTCTCTGCTCATTTTACTTTTGTTAGGCAAACCCTCAGTTACTCATATTTCTAATAATATCTGTATTTTTTTTAGAAGTATAGTTTTTCTTTTTAATTATTTCTATATATTCTTTGAAATTAAATGAAAAGTTTCTGCACTCATTTGACTGGCACATTCCCTTTATTGTCAGTGCGAGTGTCCATTGAGTCTGGAGGCGGAGAAGCTCAGAACATTACAGTCCAGAAAGCTCATGGTTGTTCTTTTTTAAATGGTTGTTGATTATCTGAAAGGGGAGGGGGATGAGCTTGGGTTAAGGTGGAGAAGGTGGGAAGTGTGCGACTCCCACCAGGTAATGGGTCACTTTAGAGCACAGCGGGCCGGCAGGAGACCCCTCTCAGCAGAACCGAGCCTAGCAGCAGGAGCAGCAGCAGCCTGGAGGTGGATGGAGGTGTCAGGTGAGCCTGGCCTGAATCTGGGCCCCCACAGCCTCCCAGCTCTGACTCGCAGCGGCGCTTCTCACACAGCAAACCCGTATAGCCCGGTGGACAGCTGCAGCGGACGTTGCTGATACACGTCCCACCATTTTGGCAGCGCAGGAGTTCGTTGTCACACACCCGGGCTGCGGTGGAAGCAATGTAAAGACAGGAAAGACGTGTGATAATCTAACACACAAACACGTGTTTGGGTGACACTTTACTTGAAGTGTGTTCTGGTGCATGAAGGAGATTCTCTTCTCATCAGCTCCCATTATCAAACATCACAGCAGAAGCTTTAAAGATGGCCAATTATGGAATCAAAGACTGACAAAAAGTGTTCTTCAAGTAAAGCGTTGCCACATTTTATTCCATTTTTGATGTCTATGAAATCTTAAATTTGAAAATATGCTTATTTATGGTCTTGATAGTTACAGTACAGTAAATATAGAGACAAGGCTTAGCCCAAAGACTGGGAATTGGGTTATACTGTCCTAATTGTGTAGTCTATAATTTCATGGGTGGTTATTTGCCCATAATCTATACACCAACACATGCTGTCATTAAATTACAGTAAAGTAAATGTAGTTAGATTCGGTAGCCTAAAACCATTAATCTTCCATGTAGCTAGCATGATCTACAAAGGTGTACCTATATGAAACTGCATTCCTCATGATGTACAAGGGCTTGGTCTTTATAGCCTCACATATCTAACCCACATTTAAGTTCTTGTTTTATACGGGAACGCTGCCATATTAAGCATTTTGAGAACCATGCTAGCTGCTGTGCTGGTGGCTACTGCACGGCTAAAACTCATCACTGTTCTTGACAACAAAAACAAGTCTAAAAGCAACCTAACAGAATTTACAATCAGTACTCTGCTGAATTAATCACTAACTCATCAACATCCCCTCAAGTCTTTGCATAAGAGAAACTACTGACAATCTGTGCAACCAAATAGTTTTTAAGCTAACTGCGTACTAAATGAAGTAGGGCAACATAACTTCCCTTAATGAATTGTGGGTCGACTCAAGCAAAAGAGTCAGATTTCTTCCACTATGGCTACTCAGACACTAAACATCTCTCACAATGGCCTCCATCTACATTTGCATGTACCAAATCCTGACACTACATGACCCCACACTGGCAAAGCGTGTAGTTTTAGGGAAATGGCTTCTATAACAACTGAAATGCATAATAATTTTAAGTTGTCACATCACCCCTTAATAAGTAAGTTTCATGGGTGCTGGTGGGCAATGCTCTTTGTCTTTGAAACCTTTGAGCACATTCAGATTAGCTGGCACAGGCTGGTTTTGATCTATTTAATGTGCAGAGGTTTAGATCTCTTAATAAACTCAAGAAATCAAATAAGCATATTTTCCAACATGTTCAAGTATTGCTTCAACATTTGGCACATTTTGGATTGTAAAATGTATGAAATATAGATTATATGTCATATCTAATAATTAAATCTAGTAAAATTATACAATTAAATTAAAGTATTAAATGAAATTGACTATTTTATATAGGAAAATAATTAAATGTGATGTAAAATTTGAACAAAACACGTTTGTAAGACAGCGAAAATGTTGTGTAATGTTGTTGCTTCGAGCTGTGGTAAAGATGTACTGTACACAGAGGCTGAGATTAATCTTAGGCGCTATACAAGTGCTAATAAACTCTAATGAATATATACACATGTAATTAAAAGGTGGTGAACACTGGTTTTATCTTTTAATCACCTCTTAAAGAGTATAATGCCACTCGAAATTAATTTCACAGTCTTTTTTCATCATTATTACTTAAATGACTCTGAAACATTTCATATATTCCCCATCAGTTTAACTTTACAGCCTCTAATCTTTAAACAACACCAAATTTAAGATTTCAGGACATTCTTTCAGCATCTAAAAAGACGCGTCTATTTGTTTAATACCAAAACCTTATTCAAGCCCATCAAATCAGCTACGTTACAGCACAGAAATCCACACTTTCCTCAAAGCCTGCGAGGCTTTCCCCAAACACCACTGACTTTAGACAAACTGAACGTCAGGTGAAAATTGGTGTATATTTAGAGCTGGGACACCGAGGCCACTCTATTCCCAGCGGAGGCAAGCTGTCAAGCAAGCTGGAGGCAAACAAAGCTGCGCTGCACAAACTAATAAACCAACAGAGACAAATAAACACTGATAAACACAGGGGCCACTTCTGCCCATTTCAGTCCTTTATAGGAGTGGAAAACAATGCGGTGAGCAATCTATGAACTCTATGGGACATAAATATCACAAACAAATATAAGACCTCTCTCCTAATAATCAGGATTGGATGCATGCTGTCTCACAGGAATAGCCAAATAGAGCTTTGATGGGAGTCTTGTTAAGAAACATTGACTGTGCGAATCCTATTTGTGTTTCGTGGGAGAAAAGAGAGCTGCTGTTTGGCTCAGTAAGTTTCGCTCCAGGCCACAGCTCACCAATTACCATGCACAACTACATCCAAATAAGACATCTGAACTCTATCTTTGTTCCCCCTGTTTTGTTTTTTTTCATCTGACATATCAATTGCATGACCACCTCAACCACTCAGGAGAAACTACAGTAATGAGTCAATACGAGACTGCAAAACAGACTCTATGGAAAGCCTTTGTTCACTTTGATTGCTCTCTGTGATGAGGCAGCGGCTAAACTTGGTAATTAGATTGTCTCCTCGAGATGACAAGGAAGAGCGATCAAATGTATTAATTAAAGAATCATGAGGCCTTGATATGATCAGTACACAGGAGAGACTCCTTTAATTAGACAATAACCTTTCGTCTCGTCTATCTTATCCTTCCTTGCTGTCACAATAGAATGATAACGCGAATTTCTAAGAATATTCAGACTGGCTTTTATTCAGAATGTGCTCTAAATTGATTAGAAAAATAATTGGAAAAAAGACGTTGGACACGGTTGTGAATGCCCACTTTTTTGGACTAAAAATCTCAAACTATCCTAGTCTGATAAGATATGATCACGTCTTTAAAAAGGCACATCTTTAAGGACAAATCAGACTTGCTGTTTGATATAAGCAATGTCGGATTTAGTCTATGTTCAGGAAAGTAATCCATACTTACAGACAACCACTTTCTAACTTGTTGATTAAAGCTTGGAACATTTTAAAGGTGAGATTCGATTAATTTGTCTAAATTTGAGGTAAAAACTACATTTTCAGCAATTTGATTGGTTGTTGATAGGTTAGGCTTCAGTCACACTGGACTTTAGACTAGTCAATGACCCCCATTGGAAAAATGTGTATCCCTGCTCCAATCAACATGTTTGAAAACATACAGCGTTTACTTACTAAGACAAATAGTCTCTGATTTCACTGTTTCAATTCAGTGTAATTCAGTTGTATTTTTATAGCTTCAAATCACAACAGCAGTTACCTCAAGGTGCTTGATATTGTAAGGAAAAGACCCTATCACTATATAGAGAAAGCCCCCAAAATCAGATGATCTCCCATGAGCAAGGTGACAGCGGGAAGGAAACATTCCCAGGCTCAAGGATGGGAAGTCATCTGCAGCTGCCAGCTGGGGGTGAATGGAAAGGAGGACAGCAGAAAGACTGCTTAGCAAGAAGCTTGGCAAGTGTTTGCAGACCGGAGTGTGTGTTCCCAGTCACCTTTCTCACTCATGTGTTAATAGACCTCTCTGCATTGTTATTAATCTCTGGCTCTCTTCCACAGCTTGTCTTTATCCTGTCTCATGTCTTCCTTCTCTCACCCCAACCGGTCGCGGCAGATGGCCCCGCCCCTCCCTGAGCCTGGTTCTGCCGGAGGTTTCTTCCTGTTAAAAGGGAGCTTTTCCTTCCCACTGTCGCCAAAGTGCTTGCTCATAAGGGGGTCATATGATTGGATTGTTGTTTTTTTCTCTGTATGCATTATTGTAGATTCTACCTTACAATATAAAGCGCTTTGAGGCGACTGTTGTTGTGATTGAAAAATTGAATCCAAAACTGAAAAGATCATATAGAAGTTTTTAGTGCAGCACTGTATACCTCTTTGTGACTGATTTGCGACGGCCAGCAACCTCCCTCACCAACAGGCTGACAAATACATATTGTTGCCTAGCAACCAGCTGGGTACTGAGGGGGAGGCCTGCCTGAATGGTTTTTTTTTACAGCAACTACCACCAACCTCCAGCAACCACAAATTTCTCCATAGCGACTGGTGGTTGCTAAGTGTTTTTTTTCTTATTTTCAGAATACTCCCATTAAAATAATTTTAAGAATCTTTCTGTTCAAAGGAAATTTTAGTTCATTCTAAAGGAAATTTTAGGTCATGGCTATTCCCTGGAAGCAGAGTGATTCATCAGCTGAAGGGACTATAAAGACAAATAGATAGTGATGATTAAAAAAAAACAAAAAAAGGAAAAAAGATCAATAAAATCATCAAGATATAAAAAAAATAATGACAAACAAGAACAATCACGTTCAGTGTTGTAAGATTGAAAACACAGCAGAAGTAGGAACTTCTTGTCCCGCACCTTTATCTGATTTCATTTTCTCACATTAACCATTTTGCATTACTGCACATAAACAGAGCCGGCACAGGCAGTAAAAGACAAGATTTGTTGTGTTTGCTTTTGATATGAGTGATAATATTTAGAGAAGGGGCCGATGAACTAGGTGCGCCTGTCTGGGAAAGTGATGTGTTTGACGAGAGATTTAAGTTTTAATTGCATTTTTTCCCGCTCTGCATGCAGACGGCGTCTCGTCAACGCACAGAACTCCTGCAGCAGCAGCGGGGATGCAGAAGAAGGTCGAGACTAAAAAGTTTTCCCACATCAGCCATAGAATCACTCAGTGGTTTTGGACTGACATTATTCTGGGGGTTTCTCGTTCTCTTTCCTACTTTAGAGGACATTTTGTGAAGTGAAAGCACTGCTATGGGTGCTTTTGTGGCTCATTTGTTGTTGGGGCGATGAATCAAACTCCAGTGAAAAACTTCACATTTGTGTTACTGCCAGAGCAGCAGAGCCTGGAATTTTTTCAGTGACCAAACAAACAAACAAACAAACAAACAAAAAAAAACAACCCAAAAAAGAAGAAGAAGAAAAATCAATCTCTAGGGGAAAAAATCCATAGTCAGGAATATAGCAATACTATGCTATTCTTTTTCTCGATATGAGCATACTAATACAGCCTCTATGACATTTACAGCTAAAAGATCCCCCTTCTTTGGATGTTGCATTCTTTGAAATGCCACCAATACTTTGATCAATGTAGAAAAGTCAGTGCACAAGCAGTAAATTACAACCTCAATACAAAGGAACCTCTTTGCCTTTTATTTGTAGGCAAAAGATATTAAAGCAATCAAAGTATGTTTGTGCTGAAAACATTGAGATATTTGACCTTTTCGGAGACTGTCTTCAAATTCATGTGATGAGAATGTCTCTGAGCTGTTGTTTGAGTGATGTAGGAGAAATTTTATACCAAGTAGTTAAATCTTAAAGACCAAAAAATATTTACATGTTAAGACATTCTGGATTTTTTTTGTGTTACTATTTTAATCAGGGAGAAGGTGTAGATGTAATTGAACTTCTTTTCAGACCGACATTACTATGCAAATCCCAGTATTATACCTTTCATCGTGTCTGGAGCGGATCTTTAACTTTAGCAGCTTTTTAAGTGAAGTATTACTCAGACCTCTTGGATATAGAGTTTGAAGTTTTGAGAGCATACAAACACTTCAAACAGTAATGTTTGTGGATTTTCTGATCACTGCTTCATCTGACAAATACAAACGGATCTGCTCTGTGCTCACTCCCGCTGTGTGTGGCTTCCCATCTGTTTACCTTGGCGCCGCCTCTCTACGAAAACATTCTTTCGCCGTTTTAAACATTTTTACGTTAAATGCTTTTTCCTGCTTTTGTACCACTCAGCGTTCTCGGTACATCATTAGGTTCGGGTTGTGCGCCTCACGTTGCAGGTCATGCTAGGACGCCTCTCTCTCACCTTTTGTTTGAAGCAGATTTTTCCATGCTGACAGCGTCTTTGCGCTGTACACACAGAATATATTAGTACAGTCACAAAAAACAGCGAATTTTAATGAATGTCTTTCTGTGTCGAGAACTACTAAAAAAAGCAAGTGACTCATTTTACACTGAATTTAAATCACAATGCAGCAGACTTTAAAGCATTCGTTTTCTTAAGTTGGACGCTAACAAACACAGTATAAGCAGCGGGGGTGTCGCTAATTCGCTGTATACTCAATGGGAAACGCTTCTATCTGCTCGTGTTGTATTGATACAGTTCGCATAATGAAATCGTGACACTTAGTGCATCTCAGAAAGTCGTGACAAGTGCTGTAAGTGGCTCCTTCGGTGAAGCCCTTTACTTTAACCAATCTCCATCCACAGCACCACAGATAAAACAGAACATACTGAGCGCACTTTGCCTGCCTTGCATGTTGAGTTTGCTGTTGTGAAAAAAGTGATACTTTGCCTTATATGGAATCGATTTTTCTCTGTGCTGTTTTAGTTACTCTAACAATATTGTAGGGTCTTTACTTTACAATATGAAGCACCTTGAGGTAACTGTTGTTGTGATGTGAATATTAAGCCATGTGTTTTAAACATGTTCACAATGATATACCTTCTTTTGTTTTTTCACAAAGTTTACACTGTTTATTTATTGGGTGTTTCCCAATAAATTCACTAATTGATAACACGAGATTACACTCTACTTATGCCGATGATCACTTAATATCCACACGAAGAAGCACAGGAATCAGCTTCTGGTCATAAACGTTTTTTTTTCCTGCACTTTAATGTTTTAGAATGATATATATTCAGAGATTGACACTTAAACTTTCTAAAATAGTGAAACTAGAGTTTCTGATATTTTTCTCTCCAGTCAGTAAAACTCAGACATCAGCCAATCCTAGTCCAAATATTTCGGATACACGAGAATGATGTTGAAACCTGAAGCAAAGAGTGGCAATGTAATTCACAGAATTAATATCTAGTGATCAAACTTGTCTAATGAAGAAAGCTAGAATAAATTACACTACCAAAAAGTAATTCTTTAAATTAAAATTTTCCCTTTTTTTGGCTTTTCTGTAGGATGTAATAAAAGTGTGGAGTCGCTGTTTAATCTCAAAATCACGTCCTCGTACTCTATTGAAGTGCCTCGTTTAGGACGCCTTTGTTAGTCGGGACAGAGATTAATGTTGAGCTGCAGGAGGCGGGCAAATAGATGTCACTGTCGTGTTGAAAAGGCCTATTAATCTGAGGTAACTTGATACAAAGATGGGTCGCGGTGGGTGAGCGCCAATTAGAAGCAATTATCACCTGTTCTGACAAAAAAAATTGACGCGAGCCTTTTTAAACCAGCGCTCGACTAGTCAGATAGATCCAAAGAGGCCTAGTAATGCGTGCCTGGAGCATAAACAGTGTTTGCAATGATGTTTTCAGTCTTTAAAGTTCTTTGTCAGAGAGTTAAAATCCATCATCCTGAAGTGTTTACTCTATTTTGTCTACCTCTTGCAGGTTTGTCACTGAGATTTGACTTGAAGGAAACTATGAAAAATTGGTGACATTTGAAAAAAAAAAAAATACATAGGGCATGCACTGCAAAATGAGCAGGGGAAATATAAAGTGTAGACAGTAATAAATGGGCTGGAACTCAAAACGACCTGCATTCCCCTTTAAAAGAAAATGTTGATGTTGGATGACATTGTCCTGTTGTGGACTGTGAAGGGGTGATGGCTACTCAAACAGATCACAGGCAGCCTGTCAAGCAGTCAATATTGACTCAGCTGTTGTGTTGCTGGTGTGCGACACGCCTGAATAACTGAGTTACCGAGCAGCATGCATCCCGTCATTCCACTGCTTTCTCTCTATTTGAGCCATAAACGGCGCCTGCTGATTCGACGCTGGTAATGCAGCCACAGCGAGTGTGAAATGCAGGTACAGGCTATGAAAGGAATGGCTTCGTATATATCGGGTTAGGTGGTGTTATGTGTTAGCTCTGTGTTTGTCAAGGCAGCTGGGCAGTCTTGCACGTGTGCAGTGCTTTTTTTTGTTTCTTTTTCTTCCAGCCAAAGCTTCAGGAATCACGCAGAGAGAAAAGACATCAGAGAGAGAATAGAAGAGAAAGACACAGCTGAGGGGGAGAACAGTCAGGAGCTGCACGGGGAGGGTTACGGTTCTACTTACATTTGCAGCCATTGTCCCACAAATAGCCGGGCAGACACTCCTGACACTTAGGCCCTGTAGTGCCCTCCTTACATATACAAAATCCTGTGCCATTACAGCGATCATTGACTGAGCCATAGGGATTACAATTACATTCTGGAAAAACAAAACACACATACACACACAGGCTGGAGAAAAAAAGGGTAGTGCTTTGACTTCCCAGCACAAGTCTAGGATTTTCACAGCGTGGTCTGCGGTCCTCGAGCTCTAGCTTAAGAAGGTGCTTGATTATTATAACTGGTAAAAGAATGGGAATAGATTTAAAGACTCATACAGGGAAAAATGCTACCATTTCAACTGTAATGGAGACAGAATGAGTGAGAATGAAGCTGGCTCTAGATACATGAACATTTTCTATTCATTACAACATACTTGTAATTAATATAGCATTAATTTGGCTGTTTTAAAGAACACAGCGTGCAATGAGCAGATATGCAAAGCACTATCAGTAGCTTTGATTTTTTCTTTTTCGATGGACAAAGTGAGCCTATCTGAACATGCTCTTCCAAAATCTGAGTCATTCAAACAGGTAGAGGTAGCAAAAGATGGCAAGAGAAGACAGGAAATGTGATGAGAAGGTAGAGATGGATAATGATATGAAACAAAGATAAAGACTGAATGTTCCAGAGGAATGAGAGAGTACATTGAAATGGGCATTGTAGTAATATGTTCTTTAATTCCCTCTAATTTTTAAATGGCTCTGTAGACTTATTGTTATCCTTTTGATAAGAATTTGGCTTCATCTTTAATTGCCTATTACAAACAGAAGACAGCGGTGCTCTGGCTGCAATTTGAACATAAAGCGCTTCATGAAAGCAACACGCCCAGTCTCTAGTGCCTCACACTCAACTGACCTTCCCACTTTTCAGAGCACCTGGAACACTCTGCAGTCAAAGTGACACTTATTTTGACAGTCCCTGACCATCACATTGCACCTTCTGTGTCTGTGCTGGCTGCACGCGGCTGCGCCTGAGTGACATCCAAGGGTCAGGCAAGAGGAGAGAGGTGACGGCAAGTGACAAAGTGGGGGGTCAGCGAGAGAGAGGCAGGGTGACGGCGAGTTTGGCACGCAGTAACGCCTCGGCGACTTTTAATGCCTTGTGACAGGTTTCAGCTGCTGCTCCTGAGGCCATTTCATGTATATGACATATGCACTTGTGTGGCACCTCTGACTGGCGGTGTGACTTCGCTGCAACATTTCTCTCAGAACTCTTGTTGCTTGTCAGACTCCCCCCTCAGGACTCACAAATGCACCTGGCACTGAGCGCTGTGAATTCACACTACATGTGCTAGCTAAAAAATTCAACGGGGAACCGAGATACTGCCCTAGGAACCGTAGGAAACGCAATTTTTACACATAGACAAAGTAGATAATGCATTTTATGAATGCCTGCGTAAAAGTCATGAACAAAATAACAGGAACACCAAGTGGAAATGGCCTTTTACCTCAGACATAACCATAAAGGTGGCATTTGCTTCACCAGCAAGTATTTTGGCAATACTGAATACATTTGCTTGTAAGTTCCACCACCAATTTTATGTAGCCTACAGTACTGTGCGAAAGTCACAAGTCACCTCCAAATTTTTTTAATATTTTGCTAGGAAAATGGAGAATAGGTGCAGTGATTATTCAAACATGTAATCATACATGGGAATGAGTATATGGTATAACCATCTTTATTCTTCAACACAGCCTGAACTCTCTTCAGCTATAGTTCTCCAGACTTCCTGAAGGAAATTCAAAGCTCTTCTTTGGAAGTTTGCTAACTTCTATTTCCTTCTCTGTCAAGATGATCCCACGCTGCTTCAATAATGTTGATGTCCGGGCTCTGGGGAGGCCAATCCATGACTGATAGCCTCCCACTGCGTGCTTTTTCTATCCAGGCATGCTGTCAGTGTGTTTGGGATCATTGTCATGCTGGAAATTCTTTCTTTCCAGATGCTATTGCATGATGGCTCAAAATCTGCTGGAACTTTTCTGCAATTTTTTCATGTGTCAGCCAAAGGCAGGCGGGCTTTACACAGAGAACTTAAATGAATGTGCTCAAGTAATTCTTCCTTGAATTACTTGAGCATGATGGATCAAAATCTGCTGGAACTTTTCTGCAATTTTTTCAAGATCCCAAACACCACTGGCTGAAATGCAGCTCCAAACCACGACAGAGCTTCTACCGTGTTCACAGATGGCTGTAGACATTCAATTTTGTACCACACTCCTGGCCTCCTTCATACATATTGATGATGTCCAAAATTTTTAATTTGGATTCAAGACTCCATCCAACCTGTAGCCACTGATTTTCCGTCCAGTTCTTGTATAATTTGGCAGAACCTCAGCTCCCCCCTTATTATTTACCTTGCTTGATAATGGCTTGTTGACAGCCACTTTTCCACTAAGACAAGTTGCGGGTTTGGTCATCAGCAGATCAACTAAAGAGCCAAATCTATCTCTCAGGTCCTGTGTCAGGTGTTTACTGGAATTGTTTCTTATTTCCTAAGGACATGACTTTCAGATACTGTTCATCTGCTGCAAATAGTTTTTTTGTAAGTTCTGCCGCTTCTTATATTGTCCTGCTTTCCTAAGATTTTATAAGGGTACACATGATGCACAGACATGCCAAGCTTTTAGCTAATAGCTCTTTGAGAATCTACCTGTTGGTGCAAAAATACTATTTGATATCTATTAAATTATGTTGTCCTTGGCATTTTATTTTATTTTTTTGTAGATTCCACAACTGGCATCTACTAAGAAAGTGCCTAAAGCACAATTTAAATTTGGTTCTTTCCCATTTGTCTGTAATGTTGGACACAACAGTGATTCATCCCGTAGGTTAGGTGCCTTTTTATGCTTGAGTGATTCACATGTGTTAAGTGGCTTAACAAAAAAACACTCGTGTGTTTTGCTCACTATTGCTCAAGACCACTTTAAACATAAGAAAATCTGACTCCTGGGAAGCAAAATATTAAAAAATAAGGGGTCACTCAACACTTTGTGGTCTATATGTCATGTCATACAAGGTTTCGAAGGTTACCTTTGGACAAAGCAAGACTAAATGTTATCCTTAATCTATAATGTCCTAAGCTAAGGCAACATGCTTCTGTCTGTACCTTAATAATAAACATAAAGACATAACAGTGCTCTCATTTTTCTTATCTAACTCAGCTATATCCTAACATTTGAACTGTTTCTCCTTAATGACAGAATTTGTACAGAAAATTGTGACAAGGCACAAACCTGCTAACGTTTCAGATGTAGCTGTTGTGACCATTTCACACTAACCAATTTCTAATCACCATGCAGCTATTCAGGAGGACATTTATTCCTCAAATTATAGTTTTCTCACCTCGCCCACATGCTAAACCTTGAAAATAGGATCATTTTGGCTTCAATATACACCTTTCAAATAAAACCTAGCTAGCAGCAAGAGATTACAATAAAACACAATATATGAGAGCTAGTAGGTAAAAATAAAGGTATATTTAATAAATGGTAAACTGCTAATTTTAATATGATGCTAAAGACTCCCTTAAGCATCACCTGCTAACACCCAGGCTAACAAGGAGATTTATGAGCAACAACCTTGTGTGAAAGCAGAAGAAGCAAAAGAGGAAGATGACTGGACATGGAAACAGGAGAGTGTATGAGTGATGACGTGTTGGGGATGAAACTGACAATTTCTCTAATGAGGAGTCAGAGACAGGAGGTGAGGTGAAGAGAGTGTGAAAGCGTGGTGGCGGTGAAGGGGCCCGGATGGGGGACTGACCTATGCACACATTTTCATCGTCCAGTTCTGCTGAGGCATTGCGGTAGTAGCCCAGCTTGCATAGCTGGCAGTGCTGGCCCCTAGTGTTGTGCTTACAGCTCACGCAAATGACGGTGTTTAGCAGCTCGATATAGCTGCATCGGTTGGAGTGGCCGAAGCATTCGCAGTCTTGCAAAGAGAGAGCAAGTGTGAAGTGAGGAGAGGGGAGGAGGAGAGAAAAGAAGGAGAAAGAGACGCGGGCGAGAGCGTTGGAATTGTTGCTTTTGCAGCGAGTGCTACGGCGGTGGGGTTAGCAAGTCTGATGGAGGCTCCGTGGCATGCGAGGTTAAAAATGGAGATGGTTTGAGGAGAAGATGTTGGGGGGAATGACAGGTAAGGTTGGTCGTGATTAGTCTCGCATGGGCATGGCCAGAGTTAGAAAAAAACAGAAGTTTCACATAAAACACCACGGCGTTAGTAGAGAGGTCACATCACTTCAAGCACACCACAGCACGAGGCGACAAAGGCTCTGAAATGACAGCACAGAGACACGATCACATCAGGAGCACCGCGCAGCATGAGGCAGGTCAAACCATGAATGAAATGGATGTCTCAGCCGCTGAGAATGGCGTGTGAGGGAATTTAGAGGTTTTTGTGTAAGTCTTAATGTCAGCGGTTATCTGGTCTGAAGAGAGGATGAGATGAAACCTTTGTGTTTTCTTTTAAAACCCTTTGCAATGACTGATGTATTACTTATCTTTAAAACCCTTAATTCATCCAACAAACATTTCTTTAGTTGTTTTTTAGTCCGAGTTTAGTCCGAGTTTTCAACAAGCAATCAGCGAGGCAAGTGAGTGTGTGGTGAATTGCAGCTGGGTGGGAAAGTGACATTGCCTACTATGCAGTCATGCTTAATTAGATAAAGCTATATTGAGTCGAAGCTGCTACAATCCATGATACTCACTGGCAGTCCTGCCCTAAGGCTTGCAGGATGGGGCGTGTCCGACCCCAGCTCTGTTCCAGTGAGGATCAGCCCGTCACTCCGAGTGACCACTGACACCATGTGTCACAGCACAGACAGATGTGACCCTTAAGCCACACTGGCAGCTGCTTGGACAGAATGCCCACTCACAGCTCAACGATAAAGTGGTTAGTGCAGGAGGCTTTCGTCCAAGGGATTGTGTTTATTAAGAATCTGTATTGAGGTCAGTTCTCTCTGTCCAGACACTAATAAACTCGGCACGTCTCGGAAACGAAGGTACAGCAAGTCCAGTTCACACTACCTTTCACCTAAATCAGCAAGTCTTATCCAAATGTAAGCTAAGGTCCTCTACGTTAGATGCCTCCCTCTTGCAGGCATACTCTCAGAAGACAAATAATCTCTCCTTTCTAGAAATAGGCTAAGGTTATAAATCATGCACGCACAGGGAATAAAAAGTCTCAGGTACATGTTCCCCCCCAAAATAGTTGCAGCCTCAAACACCCACTTTATTTTCAGTGAAAATAGAAATGATTCCAAGGGACTTTTATAGTGTTTAGAATACGATTCCATAGATGAATGAGTCGTCCAGTGAAAGCCATCAGTCTAGCTCTGAGCTGGAGATACGGATACAGAGTGCTCTAGCACTGGGGTAGTGTCACAAGGGTTGGGGAGGGTTGGCGGGGGGGTAGCTCACAGGTTAACAGAAACATCAGTTCATACAGGAAGAAGGCTTTGGGTGTCATCTGGGATTGGGTGGGGACAATGTGGGAATTCCAGAGCTCCTACCTCGCTTGCTGTTTGCAACGTGGACAGAAGGGGCAGTGGACAATGCAACTTGAGGAGCTACTAGACAAATTAAAAGAAACAAACAAACAAACAAACAAAAAAAAACCCATGATATTGCAATTCAACATAACACATGTAATGCCAGAGAATTAAGGATACCAAGCATCACGCCTAATAAAAATATAACAATAAAAAAAAAAGAAAAGAAAGGAAACATACGCAATAAAGATGAATGATGGCATTGAGAAATAAGGAGTGACATTGCCAAGTGAAGCTGGCTGCGTGTAGCAGCATCTGTTACAAATGCCTTCGATTCAACAATTCAAATATTATGGACCCTCTTTTACGCTTCATTTCATTAACAAGTGCTTAGTATAATTCAAAACTGTCTGTGTATGTTTCCCCAGACAGAAACTATACCCTGACAAACTACTCTCCACCTCGGTGGAGGCCAGCCAAGAATTTTCACACTATAAATTTGTGCACAGCTGCGTGGGTAAGGAAACTGGCTAGCAGTGAACACATCAATCCCTCCATTCTTTTACGGCTATAAAGCAAACAGTGGGGAAAAGGAAATAATGGGCCCGGCCTCTGCCATTGTACCAGGTGACATAAGCCCTTGCCACATACATTGTGAGCGCTTGGCTGCAGTCATGGAAACACAGAGCTGAGCGGTTGTGCGCTAGTTGTGAGGTGGCTGAACACGGCATCTACATGATGGATTAAGCTAAGTTGAGCCCAACACTTTCAAAAAAAGACAAAAGTGAAACCTCTCCTGCTTTTCTATCTAATGAGCTAACACGGTGCTGAGAGCTGAGCACCTAACTGAAACAGTGTTAATGTATAAATCAGAGCTGCAGCAACCTCTTGAGCCTCCAGGGTGCGACAGGCTGACTTATAATGTTTTTGGGCTTTTCAAGAAGCCAGGAAAAAGGGAAGGATAGTTTGGGCTACCAAAGAGTCATTTTTGACAACTATACAAACACCTGAAGTAAATGAATCTGCAAAACAAAAACATAATTGTTGCATAATCTTAGATGCCTACCTTCTTTTCGGTTAGCGACACCTAGGGATGACACATTCGGCCGAACTGCGTGCAATTGAGAGAAATCAGGAGTTAATGATGTGTCCTCGTGGGATGCACTTTACAGATCATCTAAAGAGGGGAGACTATGTGGTAGTGGACACAGACAACTGGAGATATGAACATGTCCAGCATGACTCAGATCTGTAAATCAGGAAACAGCACGATGGGGCAGGGCTGACATGGACGGGCAGAGAATGCATCCAAAGAGCCATTAAAAGGACGTCGGAGAGACGTTGTATGTAATTTGTGTGACGTCCATGACCTTGCTGTGCAACTGTATGTTTATGGCAATGGCAATGATGAGTGGGAAAAAAAACTGAAGACAAAAGATCAAGAAAAAAACCCAAACTCAGTTAAACTTAGTATTTAGGTCATGATTTATGCAAGGGACTCTATGTATAGCAAATGAAGACGTTAGGGGGCATTTTGTTTAATTCATCACATTGACTGAGTAATCAATATCTAATTACAGTGTATTTCTGGTGGAGGAATAACAATGAATAAATAATGGCAGGTGTTGGGACTTGGAATGACGGACTGCTGTGGGTAGCATAACCTCATAATTACATACAAGTCAGTATTTCCGTGTCAGGGAAATACTTTGCGGTTGGAAATGGAGAGGACTCAAGCAAAGGGAGGAATACGGATAAGTTTCCTCATCGTGCCCCTTCATCTCTTCACTTGATCTTTCTGTCCTTTCGCTATTGACTCCATGAATCATGCAATCTTGGGTAATTAACATCCAGCGGTGTCTTGGCAAGAAGCCACTTACTCTAACTATGTGTGAATAGAGAATATGACTGCTGTTCACCAAGTGCAATCTTTTAAATAATAGCTTTTATCCCTTGTGAAATAATGGTTTCGAATCTTTTTTATTTTTTTTTGTAAGTGGGCTGGATTTCAATAAAACATTAGTTTTGAGGTTTGTATGTCTTTACAGAGTGACAGTCGCTTTAAATACCCTCAGTGCTGATTTCAAAACTGCTCGAACGAAAGAAGAATTTGATTCTTCGTGGGGATTCTGGCATCGGTGACGACTTTGACGTCTCCGCTGGGTCTGAGTCACACGAGTCACAGAATGAAATGCTGTTTGAAAATGAGATATTAACAAATAAAGAGCTTTTAAAAAAAGCTCTTTATTTGAAATCTACTTTGAAATACTTTGTTCGTGTGATAATCACTTAGCAGTGAAGCCGTTTGGTCAAAATAGCTGCAAAAAAAAGACTCTGCCAGGAACATTTGGAGGGGAAAAAAGGTGAGAACGCTGCACTGTCTAGATCTGTCGAACAGCTGATCTAATTGCTAAAGTATGATGATATTTAATCACAACCTGTTTCCAAAAAAAGTTGTGGTGCTGTGTGAAATGTATTTCAACATAAAGCACAATCCTTGTCAAATCGTTTACCTGAAAACGGCACAAAGACATTGAAAAAAAAATCCAGGTTTGATCATTTTAAATTTGCTGCCAGCATCAAGTAAAGAAGGCTGAGTAAACAAAAGCCTGGAACCTGTGTAGCATCAAAAATAAAACAAAGTAAGACAAAAATATTAAACAACTGTTGAAACATCTCCTAACTAATTGGTTATATTAGCATAAGGTCAGTAACACGACCGATTATCAAAAAGAGCAAGAAAGCCTCTCAGAGGTAGCGATGGAGAGGCGTCTGCTCCTCTGTGTATTACTGGGTGTGCAAACAGTTCAACAACGATTCTCTGTGCTAAATTTGAAAGGGATTTAATAATACACGGTACATAATATCATCAGTAGATTCAGAGAATATTGAGACATCTCTTTACATAATGAACAAGGCTGTGATCTTCTTGGGCCTTCGAACAGCACATTTGGTTCTGGAAATCACTGCATGAGCTCAGGAACACTCAGCAAACACAGTTCAAAGCTGCAAATACAAAAGAGCCACGCTAAAGGAGAAGACAACAAGAAGTAAAGAAAACTGCCCTTTTCTGAACCTGAGCTCATTTAAGATGAGCTGAGGTCAGGCATTTAATGTTATCTGTGCACAGTCCAAAATCCAGCCTTCATGCTGGTAAATGGCTGCTTTGGTGTACACTGGGTACTTTGCAAATTTATAAAGTAATGCTATAAATGTTAAACAATACATATAGGTCCTTAAGCAACAATGCTGGCCTTTTTTAAACTTTAGAGAAGGTTTTGCTCATTTCATGAAGGTAATACAGCTCCAGAAAGTCTCAATGTATTGTCTTTGTACCACTTTCAGTGAAATACAGTTTCAAATCATAACAATAATTTTATTTTCATTTTACACATTTCCCAAACTTGCATTCTTTTGGAAACAGGGTTTCTGTGTTGGCAACTGACGGGATGTAATGCACATCTAGGTTCCATTAATTATTTTGTTATGGGGAATATTCAGGAGTGAAATGAGTGGTGACGGATTTTAATCAATGCCATACTTATAATGAAATGCAATCTTGCAGAGCCAGAATTGTTTTTTAAAATATTAATTTCACTTTAATGGTCTGCATTAGGCAATTCTGCCTGGCTTAATAAACTTGAAATAGAATTGAGGAAAGTCAATAAGGAATTCAATTACCTTCAAAAAACAACATAAAAAGTGCAGGGCTTTGTTTTTTCTCCCCCAAACAGTAGCTTTGTTTCCAATCCTTAAAAAAACAAACCTCAAGGACATCATAACCTTTCCCCCCCTTAGCCTGTTCTTACTTTATTAATAATGCGACTTAACGTTGGTTTGTGTTTGCGCTGAAAATGGCCTCATCCTCTTCAGTGTGCTTAAAAAATAAGGCAGTCAGCATGTTTCATTTTTTTGTGTTTTGTTGGTTCTGTGGAAGGCTGCTGCAACAAGACAGCCACTCGTGAGAAATCTAAATCCCCGTGGGCCAATCTGGATGAGAAACGAAGACTTTGGTTTGTCAGAGTGTCCTTTCTACATCGCCCATCCTCCCTCCCCAAAACACACACACGTACACACACACGCACTTATCAGCATGCACACCCGCCCTGTAAAGGATTTGAGGACAGCCGTTGGACATGGTCTGGCCTGGCATTTTGGAAGGGACGGAGAGGATGGATGTGCAGCAGTGAATATGTACGTGTACACAGCATGTATGAAGAGCATGCCCACACACACTAAGCACTAATAATGCCGTGCATGAAGACGAAGCACAATTCGGAGGCAAGCAGTGGAAGACTGTAGTTGGGTTAGGGTGTGTGTGTGTGGGGGGGGGGTTGAAATCGGTCGTCTTGGCCACATGTCCATTTCTGACTCATGACGTCATAGCATCAGACTTTATAACAAGTGTTCACTTACTGAGTAAGCTACCACACTAAAGCCTGATTAATAACCACCCGGGAACAATCCCTACGTCGCTCGCAGCACGTTTTAGGAAACTTGCCCAGAAGTCGTCTTAGCCTTTAAATGATAAAAACAAGACAAGCACGCATGTGTCCTTTGGGGAACCTTGGGTTGGCTTGAGCACACAATTGGATATTAAATGAAAACAATTTACTACTGATCTTAAAAAGAGCTCACAAATAATTGGAAATATTGAAAAATGCTGTTGATCTTAATTTAACAGGTAACTTCATCATGGAGGAGGCAATTTATTAATCGATCCGCTGCCCCGGGAATAGAGGATACTCATGAAGAACAGGGCGATGGGGAAAAAAAAGAAAAAAGATTAAGGCGAACTGAGCCAGGCTGTGAATGCACTTTGACTTGTTCAATACAGTCCTATGTTTCCTGCATCACACAGCCTTCCAGGCAGCGGTAACTTGAGACATGGCACCTCTCTTCTTCCTCCTCCTCCTCCTGAGGGGCTACTGTTTGACGAAGATAATACCAGCCGAGGCGCTTGCGGCTTATATTAAAATGACCTCCTGTGACATTACACTGTCAGAGAGGTCTTGGCACTTTAATAAAGTCTAGATGCCATTTATTTATAATGCATGGGAGAGAAGGAGGGGGGAAAAAAAACAAATGACATTTGCCATGCAGAGCCAGGCAAGTATTATCTGGTCGAGTTGAATCAGGATAAAGTAAATTAATATGCCCACATTATGACAATATAGCCCCCAGCTATGGCTTATCCCTCCCCCTAACCAAAAAAAAAAGGTTAGTCGACAATTGCTGAGTGATTTTTCATAAGATTGGAATCAGAAATGAACACCTGGCAATGGGTTTAGGGGTGTACGGTGAAGAGTGGGACAGTAGGCAAAGCAAAGCATCAAGCAGTCATATTGTTTACTTGTAACTGTTTACTTACTAACTGGACCAATGTTACTAGGAATACCTGCAAGAGAGGAAGAGAAAACAACAATTAATATTAAGGCACATAACACAGACATTAGAAAAAGTTACTTTTGCCATCCGTCCTCACGGGGGACTGACTTCCAACAGCAACATCCGTGATTCATGCTGCTGAACTCTACCCCTGAAACCACGACATCTAAAGCAATGCCAGCAGTGTGCACCGTGATTTAACGGCGTTGCCCGTACCCGTTTATCCTTACGTCTGCTTGGTGTCTCGTGGTTTTCCTCTGTTATTTGTCTTTTGATGTCTTCTGCTGTTGGCAGTGTCAGATAAGGTCACTGCTGCCCTCTCCCACAGCTAAAGGTGCACACCCCTAAATGTCACAAAAATCACTGGAAAACTCATGTCAGGCTCATGACAGTCATGGGATACTTTTGTGATTAGTGAACAGTGCCTGTTTTCATGAGAATTAAGTTGTCAGCACGTATTCCAACACACGCAAATATCAAATGGCATCAACTCAGTCTCTGACACCAAAGGAGGACATATCTTATCCTGTTGCCTAACCGCCCATCCCTCCGCCGAGCAATCTCTTCAGCCAGGCGGCCGCTGAGCAGATAATACAGTCTGTCTCATGCCCACGGTGACCAGATCTCTCCCACACCAGGACACTGGCTGGCTGTGGATCTGAGCACGCTAAGACGTTCACAGGCTTCTTCCGCCGAACCAGCCGCTATCATCTTGGTTTGGGTTTTAATTAGGACCTCAGGACCGAGTGACGCACATTTGTGGCCGCATCAGACAGCACGAAGCAAAGATGATGTCAGACAAAGTGCCGAGGACTCTGCCACGTTTCTCAGTTTGCATCGGTATTCCTCAAAGGCACGTGAATGCACCGGCTGTGTATTTTTGGTCAGCGTTTGTCTTCAGAGGAATTTGCTCTCAACTCTACTTTTTCTAATCATCCCTTTAAGGCGAGGCCCTCCCTCCCATTCGCTCTACCCCCTGCCCTCATTAAGGCAGTCTACCCACAAAAACAAACAACCTGCTCGCCATGAAAAGAGAAGCATGCTGTGCAAGAGTACCCATACTTCTTCTAAACAGTAGAAACAGAAATGAAATAAGAAGAGATCTCACTCTCCCTCCAGCTCACATCTCTCCTATCATTCGCTCGCTATCACACCTTCTGCTGAAGAAGCTGAGAAGGCACATGTGCAGGATTTTTGGTGGGGTCTTTCATCTAATGGAGCCGTCACGAAATATCTCCAAGTACTCAGGGGAAACGAGGGTTTCCCGAGTGTGTGTGTTTGTGTTCGTGCACTTTGATCAAACTGCTGTCATTCAATCACTCTTCCTCTGATCTCTGCCTGCCGGTTGTATTTAGGAGCCAAAGCTATGACCTGCTTGATAACCGTGAAGTACAAAAGTCTATGCTGACACATGGAGACAGAGTGTAATGGGTGTCAGACCTCAAGGGGGTGGACAGATGCTAACCCTGAGACAGGAAGGATGAGGCAGAAACCATCAGGATCCCAGTCATTTTCATTGTCACACTCGGATTTGGGAAGTTGGGCTGGATACAATCATTTGCAAATGAAAGCTGCCACCTCACAAAACACAGTGCAACAGAAAAAAATAGTTTTTTTTGTTTTTGTTTTTGTTTTTCCTAAATAGAGGCCAACAAGTATGAAAAAATTGTTGGGAGACGGGCATGCCAGAGGCAGTGTTTCATTAGTCTTCTTTTCACACAGGTCCTGGTTGATCGCTAATCAAAGCCACAGAGAGCAACAGATATGCTGCACATATGTTCATGTTAAATACCTAATGTGCAGTGCATGAACAGAGAGCATCACAATGAAGTTATCATATTTTTTTGTACATAGAGATATCCATTAAAATCCACTGCCCCTGTGAAATAAATGTGCATGTAATGAAACCGGATATTCACGAAGAATTTTAGGTCCTTAACTGAACTGTAAAAAAAAAAAAAAAAGGGGTGGGGGGGCTGTAAGTAGCTGACAGAGCAATAATACACAAACGCTATCTGCATCTAGTGTGAAAGATTAGCAGAGGGACCCACTATGTTTTAATGGCAAAAGGATATAAATAAAGAAAGCAGAGTGACGTGGTGTCGTGTGTGTGTGTGTGTGTGTGTGTGATGAGGGTTGTGTGTGTGTGTGTGTGTGTGTAGGTGTGTGTCTGTGTGTGTGTGTGAGAGAGAGAGAGAGATCACTAGGTCTTGTTATTACTGTACAGACTTTCATTAGAGTGCACCACAGAAAGTTTACCGTTTAAGTAGAGATATTCTTCATAACAGAGAAAATATTCACTATGAGCTCCACTGTACCAGCTACACAAATGCCAAACAGATCACAGTGGTCTAAAAGCCATGTGTTCATTATGCAGCGCGGTCTGTCCTCCACCCATCCTCAGGTTAAATGTATCTATAAAAACTGTATAAATCATGTTTCGTACAAAGACGTGGTTCACAGTGATCACTCATTTGACAAATTACACTTTGCCACTTCACTGGGCTCAAGGCCATCGAACTTTTTCTCTCAGGTCATAATCTCAGACACCAGTGGCCCGTCATTACAATTATTCAGTGCTTTAGGCACAGCCTGTGGGGTCCTAGCAGATCCATGGATCTGAAGTCAGGTCACTGAAATGATTTTTAACCGCCATCCTTTCCAATTCCCCTTCACCTGCCCGGCCTCACCATTATGGGCCACTGGCTCCAATCTAATTTTGTCTTATCGCACAGGAAGAGCATTAGGAGCTGCATTTGTTGACTCCATTGATTTTTATGTGTTGCGCAGAGATCGCAGTTCTGAGCTGCTAGGCTGGTGAACATGATCTCCTCGGGCCGTGTGATTCACCGCACATTTGGGGTCAGCACATATGACGCATGTGCAGATCGGTGCATTACAACACAGTGCAGGCCGACTCATGTGGGGCACCAACCGATTTGCAACAAATCTCACTTCACAGTGTGGTTAGAAGTCTCATTGCTTGATGTTTACTCTATATCGGATGGTTTCCAGCTATGCTGTCAAACATCCAAGATCTCACTAATGGATTATCAGAAACCCATAATAAAATGTTCTCCCATGGATATTCAGCCTTTAAATCTTTGGCATGCATTCTGTTGCATCACTGAACTGGCTCGTCTGTCATTTATTCAGTGTGTCTGCACATGTGCAGACACTCATCTTAGGAAAATTTCTGCATGCTTTCTAGATTTTACTGTCAAGAGCGTTCGTTAGCATGGGGCTCAGCTGGTGTGTGCTTGCGCGTGTATGACCGTGCGTGTCGCTGTGTTGTTTCTGTCTGTATCACTTCTGTTCTGACCTTCAATGTGTCTCACCTGTTTGCTTTGGCAATACCTGGACTTCCCTGGAAAGGCGCTTATCAGCTGAATTTCCACCGCAGGCAAAGTTGGTAATTACTTTCCGAGGCTGCCATCGTTTTATAGCAATCCATCATCATCTAGAGCTCTTTGGCTATATAGAGCTCAGTGGTGGTGACAGGCATTGCTAACTGGTTAGCAGCGGAAAGACTGCCAAAACACAAGCATACAGCATGCAAGCTGATTGAATTCCTCAGGAGCAAAATTACGTCTTGCCCGGTTTCCCTGCTACGTCTTAAAGCCTTAAAGTCCCCAAGAGCCAAGATGGACAAAGCACAGTTAAGATTTCAGGGATGGAACGAGGTGTGCATCAGTGGCAGCACAAAAAGTGAGAAGGAGGGGGGGGGGGAAGAATCTGGAGATGGAAGAAACAAATATTTGAAAGAAAGATTACCGTCACAGCTGCACAGAGCCGAGATGTGGAAAAGACAGAGTAAACAAGCTTGGTCTCTGGGGTGGTTGGGGGTGTTGTGGGGGAGAAAAAGAAAGAGAGGGAGAAAGACAGAGTGAGCATGAAACAAAAGAAAGAGATGGAGCGAGCACAGGCAGAGGCAAGAAGAAGAAGCAGGAGAGAAAAAGGTAGCGGGGAAGATGGGCAGTAGGAGAAGCAGAATGACAGGATGCAAAACAACAGCCAATAAGTTTTATAGAGAACAAAGAAGGAGAATGGGGGGTAAAATGAAAATTCAAATGAGTGGGTGTTATACATGAGAGCAAAGCTCCTGAATGAATGTGTGTAGATGCATAAACATATGACACTAATTGAAATCACAGTAGAGCTCAGAGATGATGAAAAACCCACATTTAAAACATTTATTGGTCCTCACTTAAATTCAAAAGGAAATGACAGACCTTCCTTTTTATCGAGCCACGAAGCTAAACAAAAGAAGAAAACACTAAGCGCTAATTTTCTTTAAATGATATTTTTAACAAATGTACTGTGTGGATTGGTTAGTAAAGCAAAGTCTTACTACTGCAGTTGGTAAAACATCACACAGGATTCATTTTAATGCTTTTTGCAAAAGAACCATTTTTTAAGACGGGTGTTTATATCTGCCCAAATCTGCCCAAGTACAGTAATTGTAAGAAAGAGTGAGCTTTATTCCACGGTGGCACCATCAGTTCCTGAGGGATTTGGTTTTGCTGCTGAAACATATAAATCTCACAAAAGGAGGAAGATCGATCAGGCAACCTAAATATGTGTGTGCGCGTGTGTGTGTTTGTTCACATTCCCATGATCAGCTCCCTCAAGTTGGCACTCATTATAGAAAAACCACACAAGGAAAAAATTAACATGCTATGTGTAAGTCCAATGAAATAATACTTGATATTGTCACTGCCGGCTCCAGATATCACAGCGCTTCTCATCATGCTAATGTGGAACGTGGGAGAGGCAAGGTGTTCTGCGTGAGTGGGATACTGAGGGTTGGGGGTGGATCTTCTCTTCCAGCTGGGGGTGGGGAATGAATCCTGCTGGAGAAATCCACTGCATGTTCGCGCCTTTCACTGCTTTGATCAAAGGGGATCCATAAACTCCGAGGCTGGCTTTAGCTAAATCTGAACAAGTGCCTCTTAATCCTTCTCTGATAAACCAATCTATTCATTTTATCAAGATGCAGAATGAACAAAT